AGCCTCAAACAATATAACTTGCAATGTAACCTGTATGCCTCTTTGTCTTTTTGATCTGTACACCCTTTGCTTGCTGTGATCAGTCTGTACCACTCGTAAACAGCTTTTCACTGTATTTTGGTACACATGACAATAAAATCAAAATCAAACCAAATCTAGACTTGAAACGTTAGCTTGCTCTCTCCATGGATGCTGTCTCACCTGCTGTGATCTCCAGCATTTGTTGTTTTCAAGTAGAAACCTTTGCTTGCAACTGATTGAGGCAATTCCATGGAGATTGTAAAACGGACATTCACCCTCATCCCAAGTTAAGCTTCTGACCATATTACCTACACTATCATGAACAGGGAGAATTTCCATCTCTTATACTGACCTAACTTGTTAAATTAACGCCTTTGCTATCTCCGGCCTCCACTATTCCAACATATATCCTCACTGCCCACTGAAGTGACCCACCCAGACACTCAGATCCAGAGAAAATAGGCAGTTGGCAATAATGATTGACCTTGTGGCTGATGCCTACATAGAGTCACACAAAGATATACAGTATTGAAACAGACCCTTCAGTCCAACTCGTCCATGATGACCAGATATCCTAGATAAATCGAGTCCCATTTGCCAGCATTTGGCTCATATCCCTCTAAACCTTTCCTATTCATACACCCATCCCAATGTCTTCTCAATATTGTAATTGTACCAGCCTCCACCAATTCCTCTGGCACCTCATTCAATACACGCACCACTCTCTGCATGAAAAGGTTGCCCGTTAGGCGCCATTTAAATCTTTCCCCTCTCACCTTAAACCTATGCCCTCTAGTTTTTGACTCACCCACCCCAGGGAAAAGACCTTGCCTATTTATCCTATCCATGTCCTTCATGATTTTATAAATCTCTATAAGGTAGCCCCTCAGCCTTCAATGCTCCAGGGAGAACAGCCCCAGCCTTTTCAGCCTCTCACTATAGCCTCCTCCCTCAGCTAATGAATCTGTGCTCCTCCATGTCAAACAATACTTGAAGGAAACATTGAGGGTGGCAGAGTACAGACAGTACTCTGAGTGGGGGTTTCAGGGTCCACCACCAAGAGTGCCTTGGCAGCAGCACTGCTTATCAAGTTGGTCGACTCCTAAAGGACACTGCAAATAGACACTGAAAAATGCAGTGAGGGAACCAATGAGGTGGAAAAACCAATTTGCCTACTGAATCTGTCCATGATAGTCCTAGTGGAAACAAAGACGATTCCACAACCAATGGGTCAGGTGAAAGATGGGGAACCCCTGCACATCAGTAGGAAATGTCAGGCTAAAGCAATTGCAACAACCTTTAGCAGAAGTGTGGAGTGGAAAATCCATCTCGGCCTCCTCAAAGGTCCTCAACTTTACACATGCCAGTCTTTAGCCCAATCAATTCACTCCACATGATATCAAGAAATGGTTAGAGGTACTGGCATGTACCAAAGTTATGGGCCCTGATAATACTACAGCAATAGTTGTTAAGACTTGTTCGCCAGAAGCTGCCACATTCCTAGCCAAGCTGTTCCAGTACAGTTACAACACTGGCATCTACCCAACAATGTGGAAAATTACCCAGGTATGTCCTGTGCACATAAAAGAGCTCAAATCCAACCTGGGTAATGATTAATCATCAGTCTTATCTCTAACATCACTAAAGTCATGGAAGGAGTCATCAATAGCGATATCAAGCACTGCTTTAACAATAACCTGCTCACTGATATTTTGTTTGAGTTCCGCAAGGACCATTCAGTTCTTGATCTCTTAAAGCCTCAGTTCAAACATGAAGAAAGAGTAACAGCTCTTGACATCAAGGAGCTCAACGGAATCAGAAGCAGGAAACTCCACTGGTTGGAGTCATACAGGGCACAAAAAGTGATGGTGTTGTCACATCCCATGACTAAACTTGACAAAATGGCTGTCTGGGGCTTTTTAGCTGACACAGGATGGCTGAAGAGGTTTGGCAGCTATAAAAAGATGTTCACCACCAGAATTGTGGTCTCCATAGAGAATTACTAGATAAGATAATGAAAGGTCCCGTGGGGGACATAGGAGCGTCGCAGTGGGAAGAAACATTAGGGAATTTACTTGGGTTTCTGTAAACAGACTGTTCTAAATACATAAGCATTTTAATAAGGGGCATTATTGAAAGGCCTAATTAAGCTAAGGGTGCCAAGTTAATTACTTTGTAAAAGTAGAAAGAAAAGTCTGATCCTACAGTAGTTTTTAGGTTATTCTAAGTTAGAAATGCAACCAAACTATTAGTGTGAAAGGGTTAGTTGAATTCCTTGAGCAAATGTTTGTAGACAGTAGAAGAAGCTCATGGCATCATTAGGTAAGATAAGGCAATAAATGATGTGAATACGACCTCTGGAAGATCACCAGCAGAGGAAGGTCGCAAAGGAACTTTATAGAAAGGGAGTTCAGGACAGGGGAGAGGTAAACAATTGAAGCTTAAATGAAGATGTGGATAATTTGAACAAATTCTTACATCCAAAGATCAAGGGAAGACTGTCAGAAGTATTGAAAGATATCCCAAAGACAGATGATGGAGATATCAGGTAGACATCATGATATTATGGGAAGACCTAGGACTGTCCATAGAGTTGTTCATCATTGATGGTGTGTTTGCTGGATTGGATGTATAGATAAGGAGGATATGGCTACCAACAACATCAATGTTGCATATAATTATTATTACACAAAAAGTTTAAAAGTGTTATATTCAGCTGGGGAAAGTTACAGTGTCATTGACCAGTCCTCAGTTCTGAGCTGTGTTTAAGAGGGCAACTGGGCCCCACGTGAAAGCCAGATTCGGAGCAGTCTCTGGCCTCTCCCACATGTGGTTAAAGAGCTTTGAATGAAGGTCATTTGTACTGCTGAACACAGAACTTAAGGCTCCTCTTTGATATTTCTCTCTACAACAACGGTTATGATTGTCACAGCTCCAGGACATCTCTCCAGGGGTTCCTCAGGGTAGTGTACTAGGCTCAAACATCTTCAGCTGCCTCATCAATGATCTTCCCTCCATCATAAAGTCAGAAGTGGGAATGTTCACTGATGATTGCACAATGTTCAACGCCAGCTATGATTCCTCAGACACTGAAGCAGTCTGTGTCTAATGAAGCAAGACCTTGACAATATCCAGGCTTGGGCTGTCAACTGGCAACTAACATTCATGCCACACAAATGTCAGGCAATGACTACCTCCAATAAGAGACATCTCACTATCTCCCCACGACATTCAATGGCATTGGAATCAAGGAATTTACCACTATCAACATTTTTGGGGTTACCATTGACCACAAACTGAACTGGACTAGCATCATAAATACAGTGGCTACAAGAGAAGGTCAAAGGCTTGGAATCTTACAGCATATAACTCACCCTCACCAAAGCTTGTCAACCATCCACAAAGCACAGGTCAGAAATGTGATTGAATACTCTCCATTTGCCTGGATGAGTGCAGCCCCAACCACTCACAAAATTTGACAACATCCATGAAAAAGCAGTCCACTCCCTCCACCAGCGACGTTGTGTATCAGCGGTGTGTACCATTTACAAGATGTACTGCAGAAATTCATCAAAGCTCCATGGACAGCTCCTCGCAAAACGAAAACCACTTCCATCCAGAAGGACAAGGACAGCAGATGCATGGGAACACTACCACCTGCAAGTTCCCCTCCAAGCCATTCATCATTAGGACTTGAAAATACATCACCAATCCTTCAGTGTTACTGGGTCAAAATCCTGGGACATCCCCCATCTCGCAGCCTGTTTATCTACCCACAGCACCTTCTCAAGGAGAACTAGGGATGGGAAATAAATGCTGGCCCAGCCAGCGACACCCACATCCCAGGAATACATTTAAAAGAATAAATGGAACTGGAACTAGACCAGAGAGGATGCCACAAAAAGTACTGCATGAATAGGCAGATACAACCTGTACTCTAGATTATAGCTTTGTTAACAAGCATAATTTGAAAAGTCATGGGGTTTGGGTGGAATGTGGAGGTGGGGCCTTTGAAGTTTTAAAGCAGAGATAGAGAGCAGTTCCTACTATCTCTGAGTGAGTGATAACCCCACTGCAAAGCCTCTTCTAAGGACGCCTACCTCGAACAAGTTACCTTCCTCCCTCCAGAAAGACCTCAGTGGATGTCTCTCCTACTGCAACCCTCTGGTAATCTCTTCGTGCCGTCTCTCCCACCTGCTCCACTATCCGCCTTCCATCACCGTCCGCCCGCGCTCTGTTTATTTCAGAGCCCTCTTCCTCCTCCCCCATTTCTGAAGAAGGATCCCGAACAGACATTACAAGGTGTAGAGCTTTCCGGCTCCTCTGATGCTGCCTGGCCTGCTGTGTTCATCCAGCTCTACACCTTGTTAGGGATAGTAGGAACTGCAGATGCTGGAGAATCCGAGACATCAAGGTGCAGGGCTGGATGAACACAGCAGGCCAAGCAGCATCATAGGAGCAGAAAGGCTGACGTTT